GACAACAATGTGGAAAAATGGGTTCAATAAAAGTTCTACATGGTAAAAAGTTTTGCACTTGGCCAAGGCAAAAACTGTCAGCCTGGCCTAATGACTTTTAACCGAGTTGCAAAATGCACTAAGAAGAAATAAAGGCGAACAGAGACCAGGCCAAACGGAGAAGCAAAAGAAATGCTTAGTCGTTAGAGAAAGGTAGATATATTTAGGGGGGGCCGCAACAGATAGAGGGTAGCACTTAATTGTTGTATTGTTGGGCCAAAAGTTTTGCATAAAGACGTGCTAAAAATAATTGAGTAGCAATTTATTTTATGGCGTCTGCTATTAAATTTAAGTACATTAGTTTCGTATGGCAAGTGCGATGCAATCTTAAATGGAACTACTCGCTACTATCCGCCAGCTGATGTCATAACCCGTAACATTCTGAGCCAATTTTGTGGGGCAAAGAAAGCTGCAAACATTTTTAATTAAAAATTAAAATACTGAACAGAAAACTTAGAACGAAGTTCAAAAACACTGAGTTTAAGAGAAGTTTTACTGTAATTTATATATATAAATCAGAGAAAGAACTTAATCAATGTGGCCCAGAGACATGTTTGTTGGAAAAGTTTGTTTTAAGAGTCTCCACTGCAATATGTTTTTAACTGATTAAGCTTAATAATTGTCTATAAATGTTTTTTATTAATATAACGACATCTTCGGTATCTGCTAAGTTACATCTTAAGTCCTAAGGAGTTTTGGGGTTTCCCTATGCAATCACGCACTACCTCACCGCAAATGATGTAATTCTTTGGCTGATCATTCATCGCTTTAAAGAAACGTGAACGTCTTTAGTTCGACGGCAATCCAATTCCCAGACCCCTGTTGCGTGACCCAGAGAAACCGACGATCATTGCCTAACCTTTGACTTGTATTGTATTGTAACAATGCTGTAGACCCTTGGCTTATTGTTTTGTTTAACCATTCCAGATCAAACTGGTGGACGTGGAGAAGGTGGAATGGCTGAATCGACGCTCGTACAGCGTCATTGGGCTGCTGCTGGGACGCGAGGGTCGCGTGCTCTTGCGCTGCGACGATGGCCTCGAGGATTGGTTTGAGCTGCTTGAGGCAAGTCTAAAGTGTGTCTTCTATGGGGTATACATCTAATGGGGTTTTCTTTTCATTGAACAGGAATGCACGCTGACATCCAAGGAGCGTCGACGCGCTCTGAAGATCGCCCAGGGTCCGAGATCGCGCGCTTCCCTAGCCGCGCCCGTATCGCATGCCTCGCTGCAGTTCCAACACTTCGGCCTAGGCAGCACCTACTCCAGCGCCCTGGACGATTGGCTGATGACGAATGGCGCCGGCGGTGGCGGTGGCCTGGCGCGTCACAAAATCGGCGCTGGCAGCTTGAATGGCTATGCGGGCGCCAATCCATTTCTGTTCAGCGATTCAGTGCCGGACTTGAGTGCATTGAATAATGAGAATCACAATCATCATTTGAGCGGCATCTCAACGAATCACTCTACGCCACAGAAGATACCGCACCACAGCAATGCGAATCTGAGTCGCTACTCGAATGGCTATGCCTCGGCCCAGAATAGCTTTACGCAGGCTGGTGGCGCTTTGTATGGCTCGCCACGGCGCATTTTTATCAACAGCAGCTTTGGCTCCAATCAGGTGGTGGACGAGGAGACCGCCGAGGAGGCGGAGGTGCAGCTGCGTCGGCCGCGGCTCTTCCGTGGCATCAGCGCCCAACCGGACAATGGCAACGAGCTGGACAGAGATTGGCTCTATCGCAAACCGCGTGCGCCCACCGATATGCGGCACTCAGGTGAGTTATAAAAAAACTGCCAACTGCAGCTGACCACAAGTGGCATCTCGTGATTTTCTCTTGAAAGAAAATGCAAGAATCTTATACTCAAATCGTACACAAAGTGAATATTTATTAACGAACAACGAAATTCTTTTGTAAAGAATATTTGTTGAGTCCGAAAATGTTTAGACATGCAAGTTTTGTATTCAATTCATTTACGAATTTAGATCATTTTTGCCATGCATTTTTTTTTAACATTTTGCCACATTTTAAAACTTTTAAATCAAGTTTGGTTTATACTCAATTTTAGCATTGTCAAGTAGGAAATGTCTACGATATATAGCTATAATTTCTATTGATACAGAATTTTCCCATGGGAAAGAAATTTAAATCTTCAAAAGGGACATCATCTTGCAAGAATTTATAGCTATAAATATTTTACTCCGACAAAAATATGGAAAGTAGAAACATATAGGCAAAAATGATTTATTTTTCAAGTAAATGATGTAGATTTCTAAAATTTACTTTTCCTTCCGTAATCTGAGGCACAAAGAAATGCGGATAACTTCGTGGTTCGTGATCGTGCCGCTCATTAAAGCTGTATACTAATCCAACCTTCCCTTACCCCTAGTGCAACCAATGCTGCCCACCCACAACACAAACGGCGGCAGCACTGCTGGCCTGGCCAACAAACAGGAGCTGGACTGCTCGGCACATGATAGCGGGCTGGACACACCGCCGTCAACACATCGTCCTTCGAGCTATCGGGAGGCAGCGAGTCGTGATAGCACCGAAACCAATGGCAGCTCTTCGCGTGGCACACTGCTGAACAATTCGCCAGGTGGTAGCTTTCGCGCCAAGAAACTGAGCGCCCAGGTAAACAATCTGAACCAGCTGAACTCCTTGCATGGATCGCGCTACTCGGTGCAGGATCAGCGCATATTGAAAATGCGCAACAACGAAGAGGAGCGCTGCGCCTCCATCAAGCTGGCTAATCGCCTGAATCACAATCATGATCAGAACACCACCGCCTATGATCCCAATCAGAATCGCTACTATAAGAATGGTAATGCCACGCCCCCGATTTCACTAACGCCCCAACATACGCCACAGCACAAAATGATGCACCATGGCAATGGCAACGGCAACGGCACGCTCAACGGCAATGGCAGCACCGGCATGAACGGTTCTGCCATATTCCGGGAGCGCTATCAACATCCGGCACTGGCGGCCATCATCAACGAAGCGCAAGGCTTGAAGTTTCGAGGTAAGCAACTGTACCCATAGCTGCACGTATATGTTTGTATGTAATATCGAATAATATTGTAACATAGTTGATTATTTAAATAATTACAAAAAAGTTTGGAGAAGATAGAAATTCAGACGATCTTTCGTCTTTAGGCACAGGAACTACATAATATAGAAAATAACATTCAAAATTGAGCATCAAATTTAGTACGGAAAATACAGAAGATAATATGAGTGTTATTTACACTTGAACTCAGTTTCAAATCTGGTTGGAGACATGCATGCTAAAGTTCAAGTACATGTTCGTATTTTCTTTTAATTTAATTGAAATCCACTTATTTTCCACTCAGCAGTGTGAATTTGTGGTATGCGGAATGTCCTGGCAAGGGCTCCACTTAAAATTGTAAATCTCCACCACTCCACCCATTTTCCATTCAGCAATGTAATATTTGCCACTAGATACTTGAATCCGATTGGATGGGAAAAACAAATAGATATAAAGAATAAAGGCGGATTGAAAATAGTAATAAGTCGGGTGTGGAATGTTTATATTATTTAATTTTACATATGATCATCAAATTTTTTCCAATTTTCATCAAGTATAAGCACGCACACCATTATTATTTGTAGCAATTATTCAATTGAAGTGTAAATATTTATTTTTATTTCAATTGCATGTTAACAATTTGCAGAAGAAACGGAAAATATTTGGTAAATAAAATAAAAAGTGCATGCAGCAACCCTACAAAAACAAAAATACCCAACAAGCATGGCAAATGATATGAATATGTATATATATATATATAAGTATATGTATGTATATGTGTATATATGTATATGGACATATGTCTGATAGATATGCCACCTTTTTGTAGAACGTGCCTATTCGGATAGCCAGCAACGTCGTCTGAACAACAACAACAATGGGCCAACACCGGTGCCCGCCTCCCCGTTGGCCCAGAGACGCAACAATGTCCCCATATTTGGAACACCTACGCGCGTATAGCGCTTAAAAGTCTAAGATAAATGATATGTGAGGTCGTAGAACACTTAAAATATGCATTACCATTAGCCCAATAAGTAGCTTAATGCATAAGTGAATCCATTAAATTAGTCAACGGATAATAATTGAATAAAGGAATAATACAGAAATTAGTTATAAGCAAATCCATATGTAATATATATATATATATAATTCGTAGAATTTTAATGCAGCGACTTTACAGCGCTTGGTTAACAGATGCCAGCGAAATATAATAGCAATTATACATATACATAGTTTAAATATGTAGCTTAAATAAATAAATACAAGTCTCAAGTAGTTTTAGTATGCTACATTGTCCAGCTTTATGTAAAACGTTAAATAAAATAAAAAACCGACTTTGTTCTGAATTTCGACTGCAAATCAATTGAAAAGTATTTATTTTTATTGAGATCAACTATTAATAATTATTTTGTTGCGGCCCAAAAGTCTTCAAACTTTTGAAAAATAAGATTATGTAATTGATTTGTATCAAAATTTAGAACAAGGTTTTCAATAAAATCAATTTCCAGAACTTTTATTAATGAAAACCAAAAGTGGGCCCTGTAAGAATTATTGGGAAAGATTGTACAGCAACGATAGTTAAATATAGATATTTTCCAAGCCTTATCAGAAGCAAAATGTTTTTAAACTTAATTTAAAAACTAACAAGGTTGTGCGTTGTGAATGGTCTAGGCCCACTTCCTCTGCATGGCGCCATTCACTTATTGACGCAACCATTTTTGTAAGAGATGAGAGATTTTATATTACAATTAATCATTACAATTAATCAAGAATCAAATAACAAATATTACAAATATCTAATAAATACTCTTGGAACATAATTCAAATTTTCTTGTTTTGATGTGCTTGTCTTTGATTTGTGCACTTTAATTAATAATTATTTCAGACTTCCTTAAGTTAGCCAATTAAATTCACGCACATGAGCTGCTACTGTGACTACTTCGAGAAACTGCTACTTAAAAATACTTGTGAACAGTCACTGCCACGCAAGTGCATCTTCAATCACTAAGAACAGCTGTCTCTAAGATTGTTAGCTTTTTGTTTTGTTTATTAACTGCCGTTAATAAACATTAATGTATAACACATTGTCTTTTACTTCCTTGTAAACCCATTAACTAAGAAATGAATGCGAAAACGCAGCGAATCCAAGGCGAATCTCTGGACAAAAGAAAACTCAGCTCGAACAGTTTAAATGTGATTACAGAAAATAATACGTTAAATATCTCTGCTATAATGAGCCAAAATATAGAAGTGTTCATCAAGACGAACTTTAACATGAAAAATGGGGACACAGAAGACTATATATTACCCGAGCAATCGGAGCCAGATATTAAACTCGAACCGTGCGTGATAAAAACAGATTATCCAACTCAGGATAGCATTGATATTGGTCCAGTTAAAATAGAACCGCAAGAGAACGATGGCGAGACAATGATGAAAATGCATGCTGAAGAGTCCTCTTGGAGGTGAGCCTATGCCTACTCGAACACCTAAACAAACCTGTAATCCCATTTAATATGTTACAGCAAATATTTCTCGGAATTTGCCACCAATCTGTAAGCCATACTCTTACCTTACCAATAATAATTTATTTAACTTGTGGCACCTATTCTGTGACAGTCCTGAGGAGCACGCCAAACGAATTTTTTTGATAGAATTTTTTCAGGCCTATCGCGCCTTGCCCGGCTTGTGGGATATTAACTCAGAAGATTTCCAAAAGAAGTTCAATACGCAAAACTGCTGACCAAATATCTGGAATACTATCCTGATGCCGACAGGAAAGAAATGCAAAAGAAAATCAATGGATATAGGTCATACTACAATCTCGAGCTGCGTAAGATTGATTATTTGAACAATGCCAACTTTGGCTCGAACAAAAAGTACGTTTCGAATCTGTGGTACTTTGATATATTTAACAGCATGTGCGGCAACAAGGAATCTGTGGACCCAATTAATAAGATTATTCCCTCAGCTAGCAGGGTTAGTACCTCAGTTATATTTAAAATTTGTATATTTATTATTTATTACTATGGAAAAACGGACTGTTAAAAGTACTCAAATATTCGTTTTGCACATCTCATACAATTTTAGAAGGCATTAGTTACTGAAAAGAGAAGGCTAATGGCAAAGCGGCAAAGGGAGGCTTTGAAAAAGGAACCCATAAAGTTGGCGTGTTACCGTGAAAAAGCCAAAGAGAGAGCACGAAAATATCGCGAGAGGCTAATGTCCGACAATGAGGAACGCGTCTTGGAAAAACATCGTATTAACCACAGAAGACAGAAAAATGAAACCCAAATAGAAAAAAACTGCGAGCCCTATGCATGCAAACAGACATTAGGAAAAGCGCTGGCAAAGGTAGAAAGAGCCATGCCAAATGACTTGGATAAAAAACTAAAAGTGATCAACATTTTGTATGAGAAATATGGAAATTCTACAAACTAATTTAATATTAATTTTTTTACATTCATAAGTATTATGAAATTAATATAAGTAAATTTAATTAAAACCTACAAGTATTACAAATTCAAACTGGGCAAACGCAGAGAGATCTTAATAATAAAATGTTTGCTTAAAAATAAATCTACATGAGATTTGCTTTAGAATTGCATGATAAGTTCATATATAACTAATGTCATTGCATCAGAGTTATTTCTACATTTTATTGAATTCCACCCATTTTTCACGCATATAAATGATTTTGTTTGAACAGACTTTAACTGGGTGAAGCGTTCCTTTCCGATGGAATTCGTTTACTTGTATCTCTACCAATTTCCTCAAGTTTTTGGTTTTAAGACGTAGCTTAAATAAATATATGCATGTCCTGGACAATGTATATATAATAATGAATAAATACTATTGAGTCATATTTAATCATTTATTTTTGGTTTTGTTGGAAATTTTAGTTACCAAACAAACAAATATTTCATTAAGGTAGATTTGTAGTGTCAAAGATTTGAATGGAAAAATAAACTGGAGGAAAAGAAACTAGAGATGGAGAAGCGAAAGATACAAGGTGAACTACAGTTGGATTATCGAAAGCTATCAAAAGAGTATGAATTACGTATATTGAAACTTAAATACAAATATGAAAAATAAAAAAAAATACACATATTTATGCAGTAATAAATGAACTACTAGAAATCGCAAAGCTTTGGTTAAGCGCTTAAATGTTTTAAATATAAATATAAGAAATAAAAGTAGAAAAAAATGATATCGATAAGTTTTTCAATTGTACATAAACCACGCTCACTTTCTGAAAATTAGTGGAAATCTTTAACATGAAACTAAGTACTCTTGGAAATAAGAATTATTCCAAGATTATAATCGTTATTATATACCTGGGGAAGAGACTGCAATTATTACATGATATTTGCAAAGCATTGAATACATAACATCGTCAACGCTATGGGGTATATATATATTCTTGATAAGTCGGCTCGATATAGAGTTATCTATCTGCAAGTTTCAACTTAAAAATATATATCGTAATGTTACATTATAAAGTAGAGAAAATCTATTAATACCAAAAATATTACGACTTGCCTGAAAAAGAAAATTTTAAATGTAAATAAATATATTTTTTGCGCTTATTTTTTAAATTTGTATATTTGAGTACATTTTCGAAACTGTATTTTAACAAACACATCCAAAACTGGGCCTTAAAAATAAATTATGTTTAATTATGGAATAAAAAAATTCGAATTTTTGATTCACATCAAGAAACAAATCAATGAAAATAAAACGAATTGTTTACTTGAAAAATCCGAGTAGTTTATTAATTTTTGCATTAGATACAATTTTTTTTTTTTTTAGTAACGCTGCCTGTATTAGATTTTAGCAACAGGTTTTAGGCCCAATATATGAAAACATGTTCGCAAAACGGCGGCTGTCGCCTCACAAATCAAAATCCTGCTATGATTAATCTTACAGATTTCGCCAGCCTTATTTTTCTCAATGCAATAGCAATTGTCATAGAACTCGGCAAACACAGTGCAGACCTCATAACAGAACTCGCAAAGAAAGTGCAGAAATAGACCATTGGCACACTTCATTAAAACATCATGCAATTTGAGCAGGGTCTTTACAAGTTTCCATTCTTTTTCGTGTTCCAAAACAATCTGAAATTTATCTAAAATCTCAGCCAGGTTGCTGAAATCTTCGCCAGAGTTGCGAGCAATCGAGCAAATGCGTGTATATGTATATAACAAATATACCGCGGTATTTCCGCGATCATCGAGCATTTTATCAAATGAAAATATATAATCGCTGATACGGTTATGGCAGAGATCCGTGTACTTGATACAACCGTATGCGACAGCCTCTTGAGCCTCGACCAACTCATTGGGCGTCAGTATTTGGTCACGTCCCCTTTCCTGTAACTGCTTCAAGGAGTACTTCAATCCCTCATCAAGCAGATCGGACAGTTTCACAGTATCACCCGATCGTGTTTTAAACTTTTTGCCATCCTCACCGAGTACCACTCCGAACTGTACGTGATCGACACGATGAATGTTCGGATTTAAAATGCCAGCCCGCTCTGCGGCCTTGAAAATTCCATGAAAATGGGTGCTTTGTCCGGCGTCCACGACATAAATTAGCCAAGTGGCAAGGTCTTCTTCAAGTCGACACCTTATAGCTGCCATATCCGAAGTATCGTATGTAAAGCCCCCATCAGATTTTACAATTGTCAATGGAATTCCGCTCTTATTAACATCGGGCCACATGATTTCCCGGCCGTCGTCTAGCTCCAGCAAGCCCTTATTGCGCAGAAACTCAACTACTGTCAGCATGCGGGACTGATAATATGATTCGCCGCGTTCTTGGATTGTCACATCCAAGCGATCATAAATCTTCTGAAATTCCTTACGCGATACATCACATATTTGTTGCCAGGCTTTCGTTGCTGCGGGCTCACCGCTTTGCAGGGTGACGACGCGATTGTAGGCCCGCTTTTTGAAACTTTCATCGGCATCAAAACGCTTCTTGGATTCCTTATAAAATTCCTGTAGATCTCCGATAGGTGGGCTTTCGTTTAGAAAATTGGGAAAGCGGTCTTCCAGATGTGCTATCAGCATGCCAAATTGCGTACCCCAATCGCCCAGATGATTTATGCGTATAACATCATGCTGCAGAAACTCTAGCAGCCGGCTAATTGATTCGCCAATTATTGTGGAGCGTAAATGACCGACATGCATCTGCTTTGCTATGTTTGGCGAAGAGAAATCGACTAGGATGCGCTTCCTTGGCACCTTGGGCGGCTTAACGCCTTCACGCAACATGCGGGTCAAGGAGCTCACCGCGAATTCCTTGCTGAGAAATATGTTTACGAAACCAGGACCTGCCACTTCGATCTTCTCTATAATTGGGGATGCCGGACAGCATCGCTGAATCTCTAGGCCAATATCACGTGGAGACTTATTAATGCCTTCATCTTTCATTTTCTTGGATAAGCCCATGGCATTGTTGCACTGGTAATCTCCGAATTTGGGGGACGCATTCACAGCCGCAATAATAGCTGGAACGTTGGAGAAGCGTGGATACGCTGTGGCTATAGCTTGTGTAAAAACCTTTTCCAAATGTTCCGTAATGGCAAATGTATCATCGTCGTGCATTTCAGAAGTTGTTTGTGACTGTAAGCTTAAAATACTTTTTTTAATTATAGCGTAGCGGTGTTTTAGTTTCGTATTTTCGACTTGCAACTTGGTCAACTCATCATCATTATGATCCCCAAAAGGCAAATTCTCTTCCAGCTTTGAATCCTTTATTTTGTCGTATAGCTGCGTCGCCACGTGTTCCACGTTTGTCAGCTTATTCAATTCTGTTTTTAAATCAGCACTCATACTGCAACCTCTCTCATATACAATAAGTCGTAAAGGTGAAGGATATTAAAAGTATATGCTGAGTTAAATTAGCTTAACGTTGATTTTCAGCGGCAAGAAGAAACGTTACAGAATAAAGAACTAAATAGCAGAAGACTTGCTGATGGCCGACTGAAATTGCAACGATAGTTGTGCCGTATCGATAACCACGACGAGTAACTAATCGATTACTGTATTCGCCACATGTCGCTATATGCGATAGCTGCGACTATAATAACTTACAATATCGTACCATCTCTAATGTGCAGCTGTTTAATAGCAAATAATTTTGTTTTGATTTTGATCTCATTAGCAGCAACTTGGTATGGAACAAAGCGAAAAAAGACTTAAAACGGAAATCATCGACGAAGACTTCATTGTACCTGACCACGATCGCGGCTATAATGTAGACAACATGAAAACGGAAGCGATTGCGGGCGAGGACGAAACTGATGATCCTTTCTCCGACAATGATTGCGATATTGGGCCGGTTAAGAATCAATTCTTGGTGAACGAGGGAATTAACGAATTGACGCAGCCAGAAAACAAGTAAGCTATATAAAATCTCAGCTATAACCCGCTTTTTAACCGCAAATCGTATTTATGCCTTACAGGTTGACAAAAGGTAAGCAAAGGTACTTGGGAAGCAAAGGGTATTTACACTTTTGTAGTCTAGATATTGGATAATGTGAACAATTTGTACTTAACTGCATTGTTATTATGTTAAGTTCAAATCAGAGAGCGAATAGACTGTCAAGGATTGAAGTTCGGTTTTTGCTTAAGTTTTCTTATTCTAAAGTTCCTTATGGAGAGTATTCACAGCTTAGTCCATGTTCGACACATAAATAGTATGTGTACATAAGGTTAGTTTAATTGAACATTAAGCATGGGATCTTTTATATTTGTTAACAACAACATAACATTATTTAGATGATTTTATATATTTCATAGACTCCGTAATTGACGAACTACTCAATATGAGAATTGAGCTACGAAATGTTAATAAAAAGCTGCAGAATGTTTTGCTTAAACAAGATCACATATTGCAAGAGCACAGCGATCTGAAGAAGGCAATGTCAGATATGTGTGCTCTATTAAAAATGAATCTTGGCTTAACAACCGACAAATTTGCAGACCTTTTTCCACTTCAAGATGAAGAAAATCTGCAATACCTAGAAGGACAGCTGCAAACTGAACAGAGGCCAAATATTGTAAGTATTCTAAAGACATTAGAAATTCACATTTAATTAACTCAAATTTACGTTCTACTTGTCAGATAAGGCAAATGCGAAAACTTCTTTGCGCCAATATTACAGAGAATTTTTCAAAGATATTTAGTGAGAAATTGATTCTCTCACACAATTATGATGGCATTCAAAACAAGAAGCCAATTAAAGTTTATGAGCATTTCATAGCTGGTCTTTTTGGTAAGATATTAAATTAAAAAAAAAATGTATTTTATATATTAATTCATTGATTATTATAGAAGCATCTGACTTGGAGTCACGTGAAGAATTTGTTGTTAATATCAGATCTGCATATAAAATCAACAAAAACAGGATTCATAAAAGTCGATCTCGCAAAATCAGAAAGAGGACTAGCTAAAAATGTATAAATTACTTACATATAATATAGTTTATAAAATCATATATATAATATAATATATACTCATATTTTAGTTGTAACTAAAGCTTTGTAAAAATAATATTAAATCTATTAAAAAATAATATACCATTTATATGTTAGGTTTTTAAATTTGGCTAAATATTGGACTGACTAGGCAACTAGAACTCCGTATTTAACCCTCTTTGTTTAATTTCATCATATATATAATATATTGTATATATTGTATATTGTATATATATATGATCAATATAAAAAAAAAGGATAATAAAATTAATATAACTTTTAAGAACGAACCATATTTAAATTTACTTTTTAGATTTCGTGAGTATCTTGCCGATAGCCGCTGCTAAATACTTTAAAGTACTTGTAGCCTTTTGAGTACTTGAGCAACATACCATCGCTAATCGCATTATTGTTCCATATCGAATAAATGAAAACTACAGTTGTTTACATACAACAACTACATACCGGTATATAGTGCCGCAATGGAAGCTATTGTGAACTCGAATGGCATTAAAAAGGAATACGAGAACGGCCATTGTGAACACATTGTGTCTGAGCAATGGGAAAGCAATCAAATAAAACTGGAGCCGAATGTATGTGTTGAGGAAGCAATAGATCAATTAACAGCAAATAATATTGATATAGAACCCACGAGAATAGCACAGGATGCGGCAATGGAAATGGACACCGTGGCGCCTCACGAGGTGCAGCGGTCGCAAGCCTTGTGAGCCATAATTATGTAATACAAATCAATGAACTAGTTTTAAAACCTATCTTTTATGTCTTACAGATCGAAAGCAGGTAAGAGATTGCCTATTCGACACTCCTCGTAAGGCTTTAGCCAGTAAAGAAAGCTACTTTAATATGTATGTATGTATGTATGTACATATGTATTAATGAATGCATGCACGTACCTGCTGCTGCCCTTTTTATTAGCAACTTCTTTTTTTTTTGCAATATTGCACTTTAGTTAATATTAAGCACACCGCACACATTGAAATCTTTAAATTATTAGCGATCACTTGCACAAATTTAACACGCGAACTAAAACACAACCAATTCGAGCTTTATTTTCACGTTAATTGCGACATATAATAAAAAGAAAAGAAAAGAAAAGAAAAAGCAGAAAGCACGAAAGCAAAATTAATGACAGTCGGCTTTTGCGTATTCCTTAAGCACAGCAGCCGTGCAGCTCTCTCTCTCTCCCTCTCTCTTTTAAGTTTAAGAGAGAATGTCAGCAGCTGTGTGTGTGTGTGAGTTATATTTTATTAAAAGTAAGAGAGCGAAAACTATTCAACTTTAGTTGAGCCCGCACCGCGTTCTCATTTAATCTTTTAAAATACATACATATATTTTACAAAACGCAATAATATATATTAATCGTCTGCCTATTTTTTTTAGCCGGAGTTGCAACGAATATTACTGCGGGCCAAGCATTTAATCAAATCTTAAGCGAAATACGAACTATGAATGATGTTTACCAAAGCATGTTCCATACACTAACCGAAGAGATCATAAGTCTAAGAAATGAAGTCAGCCAGTTAAGAGCTCTACCCATAACGGAGAGTGAATCAAATCTCTTGCCAGCTTTGCCGCTGCCAACGCTAGCGAAATTTCAGGAATTTGATCAGAAACTCTTGGTGGAAAATGATCTGCGCGTAAATCTGGTCGGTTATCTAGACATATTATAAATTTATTTTTTAAATAATTCTATTTTTTTTGTATAGAAAAACTTTCTGCTTCGAGTTGGCGGAAGCGATCTCTCAGCATTTACTAGACTAGCCTTGCGGCGGATATTATCGGATGAAGCGTCCACAAATATCACTTGGTGTGGCACCAATGACAAGCCCAGTTTCCAAAGCTTTGCCACGTTTAATGTGATTAAAGGTAAGTCTTTGATTTGAGAGTTATACATTTTATATATCACAAACTTTTTACAGAAATTGGCTTTCTAAGATTCAGTTATGCCACGGATATTGATGTACATAAAATTTGTCAACAGCATTTTCTGCACGCCAAGGATAGAATAAATAAAAAATTAAAAACTAAAACCAAAAAAGTAAATGTTAATGGCACAATTTAAAGCGAACTAAATGACAAAAGAGCTTCAGACCAAATAACTATGTAAATATTAATGCTAAAAATATAGGTTTAAGGGTGCATTTACATAAATCTAAAAATACGTAGCTAAAAAAACGAATAGTTAATATATTAGACTTGATTGCTGTTTAATGAAAAACATCAAATTTAAGTTTACAAAATTATTCAAATATATAAAAAGTATTAAATTACAATAAAGAAAACATGTCATTCAAATAGTTCTTATTGCGCTCCTTAGAGATGGCACTTTTGACTCCTTAGAGATGAGTTGCGCATAAATGAATTTGCCGATTGTTCCATTCCTAGCTACAGCTGTTTTTTTTTATAAACAACTCGAAGTTATTTTTATTTGTGTTATTTAAAGGAAATATTGCAAATGGAACAACTTATAGATGTGAGCTGCATTAAGAAGGAGTACACGGAAGCTAACAATGCAGATAAATACAATGTTAACATGGAAAAAGTAACAGTAAATGAATTGGACATAGGACCCGTAAAAATAGAACCGGGTGTTAGCAGAGCGATAAAGGTGGAGTGGGAGGAGGCACAACCGAAGCTGGAGTCTGAAGAGAAAGGTAAATATGTTAACTTAAATTTAAAAACGTTTTCGTAAATACATCAATTCCAGCTGTAAGCGGCAAAACCGACTCGCAACGGCCACAAGCCGCACATCAATTGCCTGCCGTTAGCAAATCGAATAATCGCCGCATTGTTGTGCGTGAGCTACATCAACGTCTGCTGAAACTCGACATGGCCATTCAACCCAGCAACAGATCAGCGGCCCATCCACGTTCGTTAGCTCCATCTAAATCCAGCGCACAGCGCATGCGGGAAATGCGACAACGCCGCAGGAATGCCGACAGTGCACCACATCCGGCGACTGGACAGCGTATGCAGGATCTGCGTCAGCGTCTCATGAATTTGGAGCAGCGCATCAAACTGCCCGCCAGTAGAACAAGTAGCCAAAGAAGCCTTGAGCCCCATTCGCGTCTGCTGCAACCGAAAAAAGTCCAGACGCCTGTCCAGACTGAAAACAAATCAAGCGAGACACGAACGCCGCCCAAATCAAGTGCTCAGCGCATGCGTGAGCTGCGTCAGCGTCGTCGGGATCTTCAGAATGACAATAAATCTGCCGAGCAGAAAAGTAACACCACCAGCTCGCGTCCACAGACACCGCCCGATCTGAGCGTCAAGCGTATGCGTGAATTTCGACAGCGTCTTCTGGAACTGGACAAATCTCACAAAGGCAAACACAGCGAGAGCATGAGAAAAACTGATCAAGTTCGAATAAGCTGACTATTGCAAAAGTTTCAATTTCAATTTTATAATATTTGAATACAAGTACTGAGAAATGCCAGGTAGCCATTGCAGAGTACTTCATCTAGCAGGTTATTTCCATGCAATACGATTTTCTGAAAATATTTTTTTGTACTTGTCGCATATGTTTACGCACCTTGTAGAGGGCCTACAACATTTTGCCAAAATACTTCTGATAATTATGTCAAATAACTGCCTCGAAAACAATGATATAAAAATACTTGTCGATATAGCATATAAAATATAAAAATATACCCTTTTTTTATACCTACTTAAAATTATGAAATTATTAAGTTCTGTTATTTATCAGCGCAATTATAATATCATATGTATAAGGTTTTTAGGGAGTATCTTGAAAGCAATCAGTTTTTGTTTAAGAAACTTTTGTTGGTGCCTTTTCGGCTTTAAGTTTTCGCTTGAAAGCTTTTTTGATGCTGCATTTAAATTTCGAAGTTCAGCTTATAAATGTAGGTAATAAAAGCTCAATGTGCAGAAAATCCCTGAAAATCCTGACGAATGCAACGCTGACGCAAGCTTTTAGGCACAAAAAGCTTTTGGAAAGAAGCTGAGAGTCCGGAGACGAAGCAAAACAACCCCCAAATATGGACGCTTCTGAGAAGATGTATTGCAATTTTCCCGAACGATGTGTATGGAGTCTCAACAACAACAATTTTCAGTTAGCTTTGCGAGGCAGCAGCCGCAGTCAGTGCTAGAGAAATTACAGGATAGAGAATTTCAGTTCAGTTTCAGGCGTAAAATGCGTAGTCGCACCGAACTGGTGACCACCACGTTTGATTTGGACTCCGACGAGGAGGATTACAGTCCCGACGACGATGACTCCGAGGAGGACTGGCGGCCCAACAAGAAGCGCCAACAGAAACAGTCACGTGCCAATGGCAACAGCAGCAGCGGCGGCGGCGGCGGCGGTGGCGATGCTGGTGGCGTAGGACGCAAGCGCAAGGCTGCCTCATCGGCTGCATCCAAAACCAAGAGACGTGCCACGGTCTCTAAGGTAAGCGATGAGGACTTTGAGTCCGTCGATGAGGATGACGATGAGCTGGACACGGAGCCCAGCGATGACGATTTCGATAATCCCGCCGCGGCAAGCACGTCCACATCGAAGCGAATGCAGAGTCTGCCGCCCAAGAAGCAGTTCGTTAAATTGACCCAACTGGATTTGTTGCTTAATAAGCGGGATCTAATGGACAAGGATTGGCTGCAGAACAGTCGACTGTGCCTTTGGCGCAAGGATGAGCAAACGAATCTATTGCAAAAATATTTGCGCGTCAAAACGTCACAGGATGCGGCCAAGCCGCACGAGCAACAGCTGCTCTTTACTTCCAGCTCTGTGGTAAGACCTATTTACTTTTAAGTACAGCATAGATCTGAATTCCTGTACAGTATACTTAAGATGAAGGAATCAATTTCTGCGGACAGTGAGGTTAATGATTGACAAAATTTGGCATTTATTAATTTTACTATACAATTTCAAACGTCGGCCTTAACATAAGTTTTCGAGCTATAAACCTATAGGAATCATTTGTGTATAATCTTCTCTTTCAGTATTCAAGCTGGGATGAGCAACACATTCGTGATTTCATAGATGTCAAAGTCAATTGTTTGGATCCCAACAATAGGCGAATAGAGTTAGATGATATAGAGGCTATTAAATGTCTATCTGCAGAGCTACAGGCGGAAAATGAACAGAGTCAAGGCGCCGCGGACAATGATGCGAGTGACAATAATGATGGCACAGGTGAACCGGAGCCGGGCTCTGACAAGGAGCAGGATGACAATGAGGAGGATGATGATCCATAAATTGAAACACTATTAACTTAATATTAATGATATATGAAATGGGTTCTAAACATAATTCCTAGAAGTTATTTAGAAAGTCAAGTTAGCCTTAGAAATTGAATTAAAAATGCGATTGCTATTTAAATTGAATTTAGTAAAAAACAATTTGAATTATCAACTCAATTCGCAACAAAATACATTGATATAATAATTACAATTTGTTACTTTGGTAGTTCGATTGCAATACAAATTGTATATGGGCATTATTTTGACTGAATTCGTAGAGGTTTTCTTTTTGTTTTCGTTTTCGTTTTAATGTCTCTGGGAGACAGCAAAAAATTTGCACTGATCTGTGCTGAGGGTGCTTGATGGGGCAGGCGGGTATTTTGGCCGGTTACCGGCGGCGTTCGCCTTTGACAGTTTTGCGTTTCTCTTTCTTTTCCTCGCGCAGCTGTTTTTGCTTTTCGCGATCTTCTTTGTCCTTTTGTTTTTTGGCCGCACTTTCTAGGCGCGCCTGCTCGCGCTTCTCCTTGGCCAGATTGGCGACATCCGACTTGTTCGTGTTCGGCGCCATGACGCCGGATCCGCTGGGTTCAGCGCTTTCGCCATCGGTATCCTCGTTCTCCTCCTCGCTGACGGCAGTCTAATGATGACACCACCCAAAACCATTAATTCAAGTTGCTCTCTTGAGTTTTTTAGCCTAATCAAACCTGTGAATATTGTGCCAGTATCTGTTGCTTAATGCGCAGCTCCTCCTCGGTGTATTCACGCTCTTTGGCGGCGGGTTGCAGCTTCTGTTGTTCCAGCAGCTTGGCCAGTTGTGCATTCACATCAATGTCCAGGCCCTTTTTGGGCGGCTCATCGGCGCTGGGATGGCTCTGCAGCCATTTCTGCAATATGCTGGCCACCAGCTCCTCAATGTTGGAAGCCTGCAAGAGTTAGCTGTTCCATAGATAAATGGGTTTATTACTGGAAGAAAGGGCCAAGCTTACGCCTGTTCCGCTGAGTATGCCTTCGAGTGCTTCTATTTTTTCATCTTGCGTTTCCTCCTCGCCCTCCAGAATGCCAATTATGTACGCACCAAATACACTTTCATCTGTGTTGAGCAGCCGGAGTTGATCGTTGAGCCATGTTTGAAACTCGCTCATCTTAAATGCAAGGGGCAGCAATTGTATTCCAGTTCCAGGCAAATAAAAGCCGCAAAAGGCAACTAAATTTCGCACACCATGTGAATTAGTGTTGCGAAGCGTTGTAAAAAGAACAGCTGCTTAAAAATTGTGAAATCAAAGTAAATATTATTCAAAATCAGATTATTTATATGAACGAGCAATTTGTAGGCGTTTATTTATATCTAATGCATTTAAGATGTGGCTGAACAGTGTTTAATTACTATAAGAATTTATTTTCACCTCTTTCTCGAATGAATATAAAAATAGCTATCGGTATTTGCGTGGTGGCGATGTCTGCCAGTGTGCACAGCTATGTACGTAGCTCCACTCAGCTGTGCGCAACAGTTGTGAACGCAAGCAGTGCTAGCAAGTGTTAAGCTAGTGTTATTAAACGCTGTACTTTTTATTGTTATTAATATATTTTGTGCTGTTGCTTGCCATTAAATTTGGTTTCTTAAAGTGTTTAATTGCGTATTTAATGTTCCAAATCGTACAAGCAATCGTGTAAATGCTATGAAATATGAATCATGAGCTTGGTTTTCGGGATGCGCATACTCACCATACCGCCAAACAGCAAGAGTGTGCAGCTGTTTGTTTTTGTTGCTGCTGCCAGCGATAACAACAACAATAACCATTCAATTTCATAAACAAATTCCAAGTGCAATCCAAGCTTAAGTTTTTACATGAAGTTTATACAATTGTTACGGTTAGTGCGTAATTGAAAGTGTGCCTGTAGTTGTGTCGCGTTCGTTTGTGTGTGTGTGTGTGTGTGTGCGTTTTTTCGTATTCTGCGTCTTCGTCGCGCTGTAATAATTTACCAACAACAACAGCAACACTGGCAACAACAACAGCAACACTGGCAACAACAACAGCAACACTGGCAACAACAACAGCAACACTGGCAACAACAACAGCAACACTGGCAACAACAACAAGAAGAGCCCCACACGACACCTGCGTTTTGTTTATTTGTTGTTGGGGCGTCATAAACAAAATCTATACAACTACATACAACACACGCGCAGTTGGCAGTCGGCAGTTAGCAACAAGTGGATAGATATAAAGCCACTCAAACTCGGACTCGCACCAAATACCATCCAAGTAACCAAATCGCCAGCCCCATTTGGCGTGGATTTTCTGTTTAGCTATGCAGGTGAGTGTTTATATATGTATAAATAGACACATTATATATATATATATATATGTATAAAGCTATTTTATTTTCATTTTCTTCTTACAATGCGTCAATTAGCAATTCTGATTGGGCCTACTGCCACCTGTAGCATAGCTTGAATCTGTCTTAAAATCTTATTTTATTGAACTATGCACATTTATTCTAAGTGATTGATTAGTTAAACTAGCTTATTAAGCATACAACAATTAAATGATAATATATATGCATAGTTAATATCAATTAATCAAAACTAATAAATATTTTCTTTGACTAGAGTATTATCAAATATTTATCTTATACAAATAATGAATACATATTTAAGTATAATTATATCAATTTTTTAAAACAAGCAATTTATTAATTTTACATACTAAAATTGCTTAAAAATAGCACAAACTAACTTTGCAAAAAAAGTAATTAGCTTTTTCAGGGGCTTACAAATTATTTTGACATTCAATGCAATTAAATTAAAAAAAAAATTAATAAGAAAAGAATGCCTTGCTCACAAAACTTCACCTTTTTTTATTAAGATGTTCCATTAAAAAAAAATAATAATTCATTAAGCGGTTAAATATTTATCAACTTTAATATCTCATGAATTTTTGAAATATTTTTTCATTTATTTTTATTTATTTAATATATTTTATATATATTTTATTTTATTTTTAGGTTTAATACCCGTTTAGTATATTACGGAGTTATTTATGAAAAGTTAGATTTTTCTTAATATTATGCACCAAGCCCGTTTAAATTGAAAAAAAAAAAAACAAGAGTACAATCTGATTAGAAGGAATAATTATTTAGTTTTTAGAGTTTCTTAATTTTAGTTGGAGCATTTTTATTTATATACTCTTGTAGAAGGAATTATGAAGATGAAACTTTTCATATGCAGACGGGACAAATATATCCTAAAGCTGTTATGAGAACGATCGAAAAGTAGGTTATATGGGAAACTTTTTTGCTTATCAAGAAATAATTTACTGGTCATTTATTAGCTTCACAATGCTGCTTATATAAATGCCCAATCTTATTAAAATCTAACAACAATATCATATACTTATATATCAAAGATCGGCCGATAATTCAATTGTTGTATGAAAACCTTTTTTG